GTGGTATTACCTGGACAGGTTACCAGTCAATTATAGGCCCAAGAAAGACGAAGTCTAAATGAGTAGCAACAAGGATAAAGAAAAAGTAACCTAAGAATCTTTGCTAAATGAAAACGGAAGTAAAAGTGACAAATGGCTACAGCACATAACCAGCGGAAAACAAGAAACAAAATCTGGTTTCCTGTGTCAAGAATCCCTTGGTCCCTAGGAACAGCTATGATCCTGGAAAGGACCCTAAAGCATATGGAGCATGTGGCGGGGAACCCTGCTGTGAAGAATGACTGCTCGTTTTAAACGGATAAGCCCAACATTTCCAAAACACATGAGCCATGCAGTAAACCTACATAATAGGCTATGTTTTCAATGTGTGTCTAACCACAGGCACTTCAACCTTGGGATGTGGCATGATGTCACCAGTTTTTTGCCAGGAAACTATTTATTTTACCAGACATAATTTTAGAAGGGAATACCATCTTAATTTTAACCTTCAAAACAGCTTTAATGATTGTTTCATGGTTGCTCCTAAAGTTATGATGGCCATTTCCTGTGCGAATGTAAGTCCCTCGTTACTGAGATGACGCATTCTGAGGATTGTATATTAAGAGGCATATTTACCAAACTGTGCAATTTGGTGACTGATCCCAAGTCATAAACGACTCCTACGGGAGTGCCCTGTTCTGTGGGTGAGACTCAGAAACTAGCACAAACACAGGAGCTATCAGCTCATTTTGGTAATGACTAAAGTGGTCTTCCAGGGGAAGAGCTAATTAACACAAAGATGGAAACAAAAAGACTTGTTAAGAATCAGGAGCCTGTAATTTACCAGTGAAGCACGCAACATGCTCCATGTTGCCATGACACAAATCATTAGCTTGAACTTGATCACCTGTATTTAAATTTACCTTGGCTGTTATTTTCACCAGAAACTTGGTGTAAATATACTATTATGCTTGTCAAGCCAATGGCAATCTGAAGATTTTGTATTTTTTAATAGTTTCTGCTTAAATTCATTGCTTTTTGGTGACTTTTTAAACTAGAATGAATCATTGTTTGGTGTTAGGTTACTTAAAGTGAAGATGTGTATTTTCCCTAGCAATAGGGGGCAGTAGATACTTAAATCATTGTAAGCAAGCTGTATTTTTGTGTTCAAGTAAGACCTTACAAGCGGATAGCCTTTAGGGTCAAAAATCACTGGGAGCGCAACCTCCAGCAACAAAAGCACAACAGACTCCCTTTCATCACCGGCAACAAATGAAGCAGTAAATGTGTAAAATGTTTATGAAGTAAGAAAGTTTTGTAATTGTTTGTTACAAATCAGTAAATGTGTTTTGACCTCACAGGCTCACGTAGAAGGACATATGACATCGTCAATAGACTTGCATTTGCTCCCATGTATTTTTAGACCCAAATTTTATGGTCATATGTTACGAAACCACCAATATTTTTCAACAACTGGGCATCAGTTTAATTCATTTTCAACAACATTTCAATGGATATTTCCAGAGATGAATGGCAAAAACTACACATTGTCGCTTTAAACATTAACTTAAATTCTCTTACATAGTTAAAGACATGCTTGGCAGAAACCCTAACTATATTTTTTGAAGAACATTTAAAATACAAATTATCTGTCTAATCTGTGACAAAATCTGAAAAGATGAGTCCCCAGAGATTTGTGTACCCTCAGACAAAGCAAAATGGAAAACAAACAGCACAACACGTGTGGTTGAGAAAAGAGGGAGCAACACTGGCCTTGTGGTGGTATGGTGAGAATGTTCGGAGGCATGATTGTATACTAGAGCGGCCAAATGGGTTTGTTAGTTTGTTAAACTGGTATTACGGGCTACAGAGAGCTTCGTTATGTGTACATATAAGGCACAAGTGATTTTAGGTGGAGTTTCCTTCTCTTCCCTATAAAGTATTCCCTGGTGACACGTCAGTGATGTCTGGAAAAGGTATAATCTAGAGACGCCTTTACCGTGGGATCACCAAACGGATGGTGTATTCCTACTAGCTTAGGCTTTGCAAAACAGTTTAACTTCTTTTTCCTAATTTGCAAAACACCATTCAGTTGGTAGTTAGATCAAATGTTTCTTATAAAAATGTGAACCTCAGCATTATGTGTTAGGACCTACTTGTTAATTCAAAATGTTGTCAAAGTGCTGCCTAAACAGTCAGAAATAAGTGAAAGGCCTCTTTCAGGTGGCCGGACAGTGGGGGTCTACCCAGTCCAATTTTTGTAACTTTCCAAAACTGACGAACCAACAGCCCTGTCCACTGTTCAGTGACCAGCCAGGTGCACGGTGGTGAGAAAACGGACAGAATTCCATTGGTTCTTTTTACAGCTGAATCACAGTTTGTGTGTAAAGGGTGCTCTCAGAAGACCTGGAGGCTTTATGCTCCTCAAAACAGCAACTATCTTTAGACTTTAAAAATCATAAGAAGCTGGTTCTATTCACCTTGGAGGATGACAGCTTTTTTTGACTTTGATCTCATGTATTCTGCTCAGGCCTTTAGTGAGCAAGCCAATAATCATACCTAATTTGAAGAAAAAAAACTTTGCTTGAATATTTATCTGCTTACCTTGGCACAAAATAAAAGCTGAATTATGAATAAAATACACAGATTTGATAATCAGTCCAGGTAATACCGCAAAAATTCAATGTGATACGATATCTGGATGTTATAATAATGATGATGATGATGATGATACAGCATCATACATTATATAGAGCTTTATAGGACACTCAAAGACGCTTTCATGCACTCTCACATCCACACACTGCCAGTGATGGTAAGCTACTACGTAGTCACAGCCACCCTGGGGCAGTCTGACAGAGGCAAGGCTGCCATTTGGCGCCGTTGGCCCCTCTGACCACCACCAACAAAGGCAAGTTGGGTTAAGTGCCTTGCCCAAGGACACAACAGCAGAATACCCCTGGCGGGAGCTGGAATCTGACCTGTGACCCTCCGAATCATGAGGCAACCCGCTCTACCTCCTGAGCTATTGCTGCAAGAAGTGTTTTGATGCAATGCAAATTATGACAATCAAACTTTAACTGGTATATTTTTAGTTATTTTAAATGTTCACTCAGGTGAATTTGCATTCATATTTTCAAATATGCATTTGCATAAATAACATTTTATTACTTTTTATGTTTTCTATATGCTTCCAATGGGTGGCAGTGAGTGAGATGCCAGAGTCCAATGCACTGGCTTATGTGCAAGTATACCATCAACACTCACACGTATGTATATGAAAACAACGTTTTGATGAAAGTCTACAGGATTATAGAAGTTTATAGAAATTAACCCAAGGGTACTGTGAAAATCTTTCACTTTCTGTTGCGTTACCAGTAGTTTTTTTTATTCAAAGTTCCTCTAAAGGTGCAATATGTAAGAATAACATAAGACTTACATCCTGTCAAATTTGGTTACTGCAGGTCATTTTGCTAAGCAAAAGTTTAGAGTAAAGCTAAAAGATGTCGTGGCTCCTATGGGGCACAAGAAATATCTCCTGGGTCGCCCCTGTTTACTGGCTTACTGACTTTGGAGCTTTAGCTCAGCGCAGGCCCTGCAACCTCACGGGCTCTCTGATTATAAACAGTAACAACATCCCTCTTTAGTTTTTTTTTCCAAAGAGAAAAACTGACATCTCCCAGCCCGCTGAAAATGAAATCTGTTTTAATGTACCCTTCCTTCCATGATGACTGAGACATTAAACTGTTTTATGATTACTTCACTGTAGAAGTCTTACATATTGCTCCTTTAAGTTGCACATCAATGTCCTTACCTATAAACTATTTTGGTTTCCTTTGAACATTTGTCTTAGAATGTACTGTAATTGCCACAACTAAAAAGGAAATTTAAACAGTGTAAACATAGTATCAATGGTTCAAATGTATTTACTGAAGCAAATATGAGCTATTTTCTTTTAATTGGTTTCAAACCACCGCTTTATGTACACTGGAAAAGTTGAAAAAACATTCTTGATGCCCAGCTCTCCTCTGGAATTGTGTTTCAACCCAACCAAGTAGGTGTTTTGCTCAAATCTCATAAAACCGCTGGAGAACATTGCAAAGGCTGAAGGGAAAGTGTAATAAAAGGGCCCCAAAGACTTCAACTGCAGCCTTCAGGGTGTCCAGCAAAGTGTTTTATAGCCTCTAATGCAAACCCTTTTGTTGTTTTGACACAGAGCTGGACTCATTTGTCCATTTTTACACCTGAATAAAGTAAAACTCACAACTTTGCATTAGTAAATTGTCACTTTTGTCCTCAATTCACATATTTCTGGTAAATTCCTTGTTTTAATCAAGACACTTCACAATAAAACTAACTGCTAGACGTTTAAAGAATTTGCCTACCTACTGAATTCACAAGATTAACAAAATAAGAGAAGGTTTCTCGATTAAACTTCTGTTATTAAGGGAAGAGTTTCTAGCAAGCCCATAAAACTCACATGCAGTAGTTGGGTGTACGTTGTTTTATATAGGTTGACTTTACGCAGCTCTAGGAGGTGTTTTCCTCGGCTCCCAACCTTCAATTATAACATGTTTACAAGCACTTGTCTGCTTCTCAAATTAAATAGCCTTCAGATCTACACATATTAACGGTACGTTCGTTCTAATTTGGACTCAAACCATCAAAGACTCCATGTCAGTTTGCGCACAGGCACTTTACAGTCTGGCTTCTGCACATAAAAGGCCCGCGCAGCCGAACAACATGAAATAAAACAAGATTGTGCTAAACCGCAGAGTCGTGTCATTCCACGCTCCGGCGTTTGTTTTTGCGCCAGACATGTTTCGAGAGAAGTGCAACCTGCGCCTCAGCCTCCTCCAATGACATCATACAGAAATACATCTAAATAATGTTCTAATCTTCATTTGCACAGTTAGACATCGATGTTTGCACATTAGGGCACGTTTAAAGGAATTAAAAGTGGAAAGAAGTCAGTATGGCGCATCCGGATGTGCGTAAAAATAACTTTTCAGGTTTCTTACCTTTAGGAATGACCGCAGGAGTTTGGGGAGCGTTAGCAGACAGGATGGAACTTCCGAGCTTCATCCAGCAGGATACCAACAAACAAAATCGGAGATACTCCATGACTGTCACCGTGTGTGACCGGCCTGAGTGAATGACCAGATCCCAGCGGTGGTCACAACCAGCTCTGGAGGGTCTCAGCGGGGTGATCTCGCGATATTAGCGCAAATTGAGTACGCTGGGGGATAGATTACAGCGTTTTTCTGGACGAACAAACCCCCAGCCACTTGAGACAAGTTTGTCAGCAGCAGACAGTGGCTCTATAAGTACTACAATTCAGAGAAATTAGAGCGCCGCAGGCGTGGTTCCTTAATTGCTGCAGCAGTCATTTGAGTTTCCGCTGAAGCCAATGAGGAAGAAGAAGGAGGATAACGGTCCTCGCCCCTGACACAGGAACGTCCTGCGTGAAAGTGCGACTAAACACAGTTTCTCCCCCACCCAGCCCACATACACACCCCCTGGCTGTTAAATGTCTCATCTGGTCCCCTCCCCCCTCCACAGAGACTGGCAGGCCAACTCTGCATCCTCCTCATCAGCGAACCTCGGAAAACCCATAAAGCAAACATTATAAGCCCCCTTTCACTTTAAAAGTCTCAATACAGTCGTTTTTATTAAATATTATTTCCTGTTTGGATCACACAAATCAAATTCTTTCATTTTTTTCCTAACCCAGAGTAAGTCGTTGACTGAAAACCTCTACAAACCACTGGAAAAAAGCTTTTCAATGCAGAAAAGTCCTTCTTTTTAAAAGTAGGAATCAGATTTCAGCAATAATTTTCAAACATGAGATGCTTCATCTTTTTTTACAAGTACAAATGTAAAAAGGTAATTATTGGTATATTAATATTTTGAGGTACAACCCAGAAATATCCATGCAACATAAATCATATCTGAAAAAGCTGAAGCAAAAACTGAGCACATTTTTGGCCACTAAACATTTTTTTAGTCACTAAAATAAATTTAAAGCCTTGAACTCCTTAAATTGCCCCTGTTTACATCAGATTTTCATACTAGTCAGCTTATTTTGAGTAGAGATGCCATTATAGTTGTTTTGTTTGTATATTTGGAAAATGGTAATGATCCTACAGATTACCGCAAGACCTTGTGTAAATGTTTAGAATAGAATAGAATATCCTTTATTGTCACTGTACACACTCGTACAACGAAATTTGGAAGCCACTCCCGAGTGCAAGTTGAAAGAAATACATAACACTTAACAATTAAAATTCAATCAGGACAAATACTTCCCTGTAAGAAATTCATAACACTACAATAATTAAAATTCAATCTGGACAAATCCTTCCTTCATAAATTGTATCAAATTAGAACCATGCAGCTTGTGTGGTTCCATCAGGGCTACTTTTCACAATATTCTGATTATCTGAGATTTTGAATGTGCAGTTTTTATAAACTGTAAGCCATAATCATCACAATTATAACAAATAAAGACTTGAAGTTTCTGGCTTTAATGGAGTGAGTCCATCTCATATATTAGTTTCACCTTTTAAGTACTACACCTGCAAACGTTAGATAAAATAAGAACATAAGAACATGTCCTTTCAAATTAGCACGTTCTTTTTGTTGTCAACCGCCATGATAGCCCTGGGAAAAAAACTGTCTCTGATAAACATCAGAGTATATTTAAATGAATATTTTAATTTACTCCTCCTTCAACCGTCACCTTATTGTGGTGGAGTTTCAGTGCCCTAATGATCCTAGGAGCTATGTTGTCTGGGGCACTTTGTGCCCCTGGTAGGGTCTCCCATGGTAAATTGGTCTTCGGTGAAGGGTGAGACAAAGAACAGTTCAGAGGATCTTTCATGGATGTACAATCAAGGAGTCAAAGTACCCGGCCCGGAGGGTGGCCGGGCTTTCGTCCATGGGGCCCGGCAGGGCCCAGCCCGAACCGGATACATGGGCTCATCCAACTCTGGACCCACCACCCGCAGGAGGAACATGAAGGGTCCGGTGCAATGTGGATCGGGTGGCAGACCAAGGCGGGAGCCTTGGCGGTCCGATCCCCGGACAAGAAAACTGGTTTTTGGGACATGGAGCGTCACCTCGCTGGCGGGGGAAGGAGCAGGAGCTTGTGGCAGAGGTTGAGCGGTACCGACTAGATAAAGTCGGACTCACCTCGACACATAGCATTGGCTCTGCAATCCAAGTCCTTGAGAGGGGTTGGACACTCTCCTTTGCTGGAGTTGCTCCGGGTGAGAGGCGGAGGGCTGGGGTTGGCTTTTTGTTATCCCCAAGACTCTCTGCCTGTGTGATGGGGTTTACCCCGGGGGACGAGAGGGTAGCTTCCCTGCGCCTTCGGGCCGGGGAACGGGTCCTGACTGTTGTTTGTGCCGGGAAAGTGTCTGTCTAAATATTATTATTATTATTATTATTATTATTATTATTATTATTATTATTATTACTATTATTATTATTATTATTAATCTGTCGAATACATACGTGCAATATTTACTTTCTGAGAGTTTGGTTCAAATCAGTCCTGTTTTTTGCTATCAAACACATGCAAACACATAGACATGAGCAAAAGCACCGTAGCCTTTTTTACTTTCATACCAACAAAGGTTCTCATTTCCATTCAAAACTGCTGCTCGCCCCGTTAGAGTTGATTGAAAAACCAGTCGATGTACTGAAATTAGAAGAAGGCGGTGCCAGTTTGGTGGTCGCTGTGGTCTTCAATGAGCATCTCATTGTGCTCATTTGGTTTCCCCCTTCTGGTTAACGCATCAGAAATCTGGGGTCCCATGATTCCATGGAGGAACAGACATGACAACCACTACAAAAACAGGCGCTTCCATTTACCATCAGATTACATGTGTGTCAGATGAATTTAAAATCAAACGCTCTGTCTCATTTGTGTCTTTTCTTTCCTCATTAAAAGGAACAGACCCCCTCAAATGCATCTTCATTTCATTTTGATGACATCACTGCTTTTATTGTTTTACAGTGGGGCAAAAAAGTATTTAGTCAGCCACCGATTGTGCAAGTTCTCCCACTTAAAATGATGACAGAGGTCAGTAATTTACATCATAGGTACACTTCAACTGTGAGAGACAGAAAGTGAAAAAAAATCCATGAATTCACATGGCAGGATTTTTAAAGAATTTATTTGTAAATCAGGGTGGAAAATAAGTATTTGGTCACTTCAAACAAGGAAAATCTCTGGCTCTCACAGACCTATAACGTCTTCTTTAAGAAGCTTTTCTGTCCTCCACTCGTTACCTGTATTAATGGCACCTGTTTGAACTCATTATCTCTATAAAAGACACCTGCCCACAGCCTCAAACAGTCAGACTCCAAACTCCACTATGGCCAAGACCAAAGAGCTTTCAAAGGACACCAGGAAAATAATTGTAGACCTGCACCAGACTGGGAAGAGTGAATCTACAATAGGCAAGCAGCTTGGTGTGTAAAAATCAACTGTGGGAGCAATTATCAGAAAATGGAAGACATACAAGACCACTGATAATCTCCCTCGATCTGGGGCTCCACGCAAGATCTCATCCTGTGGGGTCAAAATGATCATGAGAACGGTGAGCAAGAATCCCAGAACCACAAGGGGGGACCTGGTGAATGACCTGCAGAGAGCTGGGACCACAGTAACAAAGGTCACCATCAGTAACACACTACAACGGCAGGGAATCAAATCCTGCAGTGCCAGACGTGTTCCGCTGCTGAAGCCAGTGCATGTCCAGGCCCGTCTGAAGTTTGCCAGAGAGCACATGGATGATACAGCAGAGGATTGGGAGAATGTCATGTGGTCAGATCAAACCAAAGTAGAACTTTTTGGTATAAACTCAACTCGTCGTGTTTGGAGGAAGAAGAATACTGAGTTGCATCCCAAGAACAACATACCTACTGTGAAGCATGGGGGTGGGAACATCATGCTTTGGGGCTGTTTTTCTGCTAAGGGGACAGGACGACTGATCCGTGTTAAGGAAAGAATGAATGGGGCCATGTATCGTGAGATTCTGAGCCAAAACCTCCTTCCATCAGTGAGAGCTTTGAAGATGAAACATGGCTGGGTCTTCCAACACGACAATGATCCCAAACACACCGCCCGGGCAACAAAGGAGTGGCTCCGTAAGAAGCATTTGAAAGTCCTGGAGTGGCCTAGCCAGTCTCCAGACCTCAACCCCATAGAAAATCTGTGGAGGGAGTTGAAAGTCCGTGTTGCTCAGCGACAGCCCCAAAACATCACTGCTCTCGAGAAGATCTGCATGGAGGAATGGGCCAAAATACCAGCTACTGTGTGTGCAAACCTGGTAAAGACCTATAGTAATCGTTTGACCTCTGTTATTGCCAACAAAGGTTATGTTACAAAGTATTGAGTTGAATTATTGTTATTGACCAAATACTTATTTTCCACCCTGATTTACGAATAAATTCTTTAAAAATCCTGCCATGTGAATTCATGGATTTTTTTTCACTTTCTGTCTCTCACAGTTGAAGTGTACCTATGATGAAAATTACTGACCTCTGTCATCATTTTAAGTGGGAGAACTTGCACAATCGGTGGCTGACTAAATACTTTTTTGCCCCACTGTATATACAGATTATGTTGGAGAAAAAAACATTAGAATGAGGTTGATTTTTCTTTCTATCGACACCAATAAATCTGAAGTTTGACCACTGAAACATGTTACCTCCCCCTACATGCTAATCATTGTTATTGTGAATGCCACTTGGGATTTTTCAGTGAATTGTTTCATGTAATGACATCATAGCTTTATGGTTTTGCATGTAAAGTTAGTAAAAGTTGGAGCTTTTTATGAGTCAAATTACAGTTTCCAGCGAGGCCCCCTGATAAACCTTGAAAATGTCAAGCATGTGCCAGAGAGCTCAACAGAGAAAGCTAGACTTGGATGTCAGCCATTTCCTTTTACTGCAATTCAACGTGCAGCTGACTGAACGCTGGGCTGGCTTGTTTATGGAAATTAGTGTGTCATGAGAAAATTACCACTTTGACACTCGTTGTCTGTCTCCTTTTGCAACGAGTCCAAAAGAGTCTTTCTGCTCTAAGCAAAAGTCAAATATAAGAACATCACCCATATGCTTTGATGGATTTTTTTTTCTTATCAAAACCAATCTTTACCAACTTATATGGACTTTGTGTTAAGAGGGACACACTGGTTTGGTTGAGTTCCCAGTGAGGTTTCTAATTGGTATTTCAGTAGTTTAATATCCCATCTAAGTCATGTTCTGTGGAGTGCCAAGATCCATTAGAACTACATAAAGTTGTATTTTTGTCATTTTGAAACTTTAAAACTTTTGTCTCTATGGAAATGTTATAATTAATATTATAGTAGATGGCTTTCTGAATAGCTTCAATTCAGAGAAATAGCAGTAACATCCTTCAGGATTGATGAGCTAACGGCTAGTCAAGCAAAGCCAAAAACAAGTTCATATAAA